TGACGTGGAGAACCGCCTCAGTTCCAATCCAATATCAGATAAAGGCCAAAAACATGACGGAAGCACCGAAGCAGAGGCACCCGGCCTACTTACCTTCACAAGCCGGGATGTCGACGGCATTTGAGCCAAACTCAGCAGCCGGCAATATACCCAAATGACACATATCAGCGACATCAGCCTCCGTAGAGTGCTAAGTGGACGAGAGAAGCGGCCCCACTCCCTCCCTCGGCCTGTGGGGGTGATCCCGGCTACATGGGGACGGCACACACCAAGCCGGAAGCCCGCAACTTGGGCCTACGCAGATCCCCTAAACTGGCAATGGCTGCTAAAATGAGACCCACCCGACAACTAGAACAAAGTGACACAGGCCGGAACGCTGTGGGACACTTCGGTACATGCCATTAACCCTGAGGTGGGCTAGACCACCCATGAGTCGCCCAAGAGCCAATATCACGGCTGCCCGACCTCTGGGTGAGGTGGGCACCTGGAGGAGATTGTCCCTACTGCTGTGAGCCCGGTGGGATGGGGCGACACGAGCCTCCAGCGTACCAGTGGCTGAGAGGCCGTGCTCCCTCTGTCCTGAAGAAGTGGCTGGTGCTGGGTGAGACATCTAGGGCACGCCAAGGGGACCGCAGGAGCACATGATGTCCCCGAGTGCCCACTGAGCCGTGGTGCTCCCGGAGGGCGGCCTGAGCGGGACTGGAGGACCGGCTGGGGGCCCCACACCCAGGGAGACCCGGCAACACGGAGTGCTCCTCAGCCAAACTGGAAAATCTGTATGCCTCACATGCTAAGTAGGTCTCGGCCTCTCATTTGACTACACAGGGCACACAGGCCTGCCATTTATGCCAACACATAGGGATTAACAGAAAAGGACCAAACCAGACACTGTTCTCATTCAGCCAGCCAGGATACACAGGTTCCACGTAAGATTCCTGTCCAAAGTATCAACGCAGGAGGGCGACTGTATTACCCGTTAGGCCACGAGGCCTGTAGTTCAGATTAACACCGTATGAACTTGTTAGTATTTTACGCATTCCTCAGCAATTTGAAATGAAAATAATGCAACACACTCTGTAGTAAAGGCTACGTTAAGCCTCTGTTTTATGTTTGATAGGTCTTGAGGATTCAAAAGCTTCAGTGATTAGTTTACGTTATAATTTCTTACATTTGTAATCTTTATTTACTATATCACGTAACTGGGAATAGATATGGTACCATTTACTTATTTGAAAAGCGATATATAAAGCCGTACACTATGCAGCATCATTTCCTAATCAGACTGATATGCAATATGGTGAATATACCCTTGCCCATAATGTAGTTTATAATCGAATATGTATATTATGGCCCACTGCCTCAGCGGGCCTTAACACCGCGTTACTTATTACCGCTTATTTAATGGCAAGAGACATGACACATAATTTATTAACTACACATAAGGCCAGGGCCGGATTAACATAGGGGCTGATGGAGCTGCAGCTCCAGGCCCAGGCCCATGGAATAGGCCCATTTAAAAAAAAAAAATAAATAATTTTTTTTTACACACACTACTCTTAGGTTTGCCACCTGACTGGTATTTTAATGGCACAGATGGTATTTGAGGCTGCCTGGCCGTGCCGGTATTGCAGTAATACAGGCAATACAAATGCAGGTAATTTTCTCAGAATAAATGGAAATTACTCTGCAATACCAGCACTGGCCAGTAGGGGTCACTGTGTGTGGAGAGAGGCAGGGATAGGAAGTTACAGAATATCCCTGCCTCTCTCTACTACTCACTGATCCGTGGGGAAGCAGCTACACAGCACAGAGAGTCCAGACAGCAGCTGTACAGCTCAGGTAAGTGAGGGATGGGGGGAAAGACAGCAGGGACACATGGGGACACTGAGACACTTGGGGACACATGATGACACATACACTAGGGGATACTGAAACACTAGGACACAGACACTAGGGGACACATGGGAACACTGATACATTTGGGGACACTGAGACACTAGGACACATGGGGACACAGACACTGTGAGACCTGGGGACACAGACACTTGGGGACACTGGAAAACATGGGGACACTGAGACACTAGGGGACACATGGGGATGCTGAGACACATGGGGATGCTGTGAGACATAGGGACATTGGGAGACATTGGGACACGGAGACACTATGTCCCCCAGCCAGTGTCCCTAGTGTCTCAGTGTCCCCAAGTCTGCCAGTGTCTGTGTCCCATGTCTCTCAGTGTGCCTAGTGTCCCCATGTGTCCACAACTGTCCCCATGTCTCCCCAAGTATCTGTCTCCCAGCCAGTGTCCCCTTGTCTCCCAGTATCCCCTAGTCTCCCAGTGTCCCCTAGTTTCCCAGTGTCTGTGTCCCTAGTGTCTTAGTGTTCCCAAATGTTTCAGTGTCTCTATGCCTCCCAGTGTCTGTGTTCTTAGTGTCTCAGTGTGCCTGGTGTCCCCATGTCTCCCAGTGTCCCTATATGTCCCAGTGTCCACATGTCTATGTCCACAACTGTCCCCATGTCTCCCAGTGTCCCCAAGTGTCTGTCTCCCAGCCAGTGTCCCCTAGTCTACCAGTGTCCCCTAGTCTACCAGTGTCTGTGTTCCCATGTCTGTGTCCCTAGTGTCTTAGTGTCCCCAAATGTTTCAGTGTCCCCATGTCTCCCAGTGTCTGTGTCCCTAGTGTCTCAGTGTCCCCATTTCTCCCAGATTCCCTAAATGTCTCAGTGTCCCCATGTTTCCCAGTGTCCGCATGTCTCTGTGTCCCCGGGTCTCTCAGTGTCCCCATGTCTCTCAGTGTCCCCAGTATCCTAGTGACATGGGGACACACTGAGACATTGGGACACTGGGTGACATGGGGAAACTGACACTGTGATAAATAGGGACACTGAGACACTGGGTGACTTGCGAGACTGAGACACTGGGAGACAGGGAGACACTGGGAGCAATCCATCTATACAGCAGAATCAAACTGTGAGTAGTTTGTTGGTGATTTTACAGAATTTTCTCTGATGTCACTCCTTGTGATTTACACGCATAACTAATTAATTATACAAATGATTAAGGCTGGTATTTTTTTCCAAGAAAGGTGGCAACCGTAACTACTCTTCACATACTCTTGCTTAAAGGAGCACTATAGTGTCAGGAACACCATCATGTATTTCTTACCCAATTATGTTAAAACCACCACCCTGGCCCCTTCTTCCCTCCCTAAATATAGTAAAATATTACTTGTATTCAATTCTGCAGCTGCTGGCTCAGAAGTGGTGGTCTGAGCAAATTACAATACTTCCCCATAGGATTGGCTGAGACTGTCAACAAGGCAGATCAGGGGCAGAGTCAGCATGATTCAAACATAGCCCTGGCCAATCAGCATCTCCTCATGAAGATAAATTGATTCAATGCATCTCTACGAGGAAAGTTCAGTGTCTGCATGCAGAGGGTGGAGACACTGAATGGCAGTGCTGCCCCAGGAAGCACCTCTAGCAGCCATCTAAGGAGCGGCCAGTGGAGTTATTTTCTCTGAAAAGACAGTGTTTACTGCAAAAAGCCTGAATGGAATGATTCTACTTACCAGAACAAATACAATAAGCTGTAGTTGTTCTGGTGACTATAGTGTCCCTTTAAGTTTGGAAGCTTAAGAGGGATGTATGGGAACAAAACTTGTGTGCACTGGCTGACATTAAAGTTAGTTTAGGTAATGCAGACGTTGTTCTCTCTAACACTGTGACATGTCCCCTTTCTTCTACACTCACTACAGACACCTTTTCTCTGTCTCAGACTATACCAGGAACTTCTGCCTGCTAGTAAGAAGGTAAGGAGACAAGTGGACCAGCGAGTGCTAGGGGACAGTCCTTAGAAAGAATGGAGTGAGCGCATCATTAGATGCATTTATGTAAAGCGTAAGGTGCTGCCTGCATAGTATGCCCTTAGTTGGACTCCCTGCAGGATTGGCAGGCAGCCTGACATACATTCATGCCAGGCTGACCTTCCAATTCTTTGGACAAGCATGCCCCCTTTTTGGGCATGTTCACCCCTTTTGGCAGGTCTTGTCATGTGATTCGCGCCAGTGGCCCACCCTTTTACCCCGCCCATTTACTTCCTGCTTCACTGGACACTGATGTTAGGGGTTATGGATTTACTTGAAAGATGAAAGCATAAATTAGAGAGAAATTAGCATAGGGTATGTGTTTTCTTATAGCTGCATCCTATGAGTTTCCCTCCAGCACCATCTCCATCAGATACATGACGCTTGGGAGGTATGATTGTTTTAATGTTTTTGGTCGATAAGATTCCGTAATTAGGCTCATCATAATTGTCAGCACCAGGCCCACTGTGCTCTTAATCCGGCCCTGCATAAGGCCATCAGCTACGAGCATCTTAATGTTTAATTGTTGAATGCCATGTATTATGCACAGATGTACCGTGCATTTGGAGCTCTAACCTGATAGGACTAGCATATACGGCCCATGCACCTGTATGCAGCGAATAAAATGTTTCTTATTACGCCCATGTGATTAGATAGTGAATACATATAGGGGACACACAATACGAGCACTGCTGATAGCTTGAAATGCTGCAAAAATATGCTGCTACATGAGGATACGTTAATCATATGCTTGGTGAACATTTTAGACTCCGCTATGCCTCTATTATTTGACTGTTATGTTACTGTTCTAACTTTGCAAGGAATTACCAATAGCTTAGCACCCGACTTCACAGTGATGACGTAAACCTAAGTTTCTTATCGCTATTACAGGCTTTAATTATTAGCATAATACCATATTAAAATACAAACAACTGAATAAGATCTTATTTGTTATGTTACACGTGCCTTGACAATACCACCTCTGCGCAGGCGACAAAATGCATACACCTTTGTGTACCGTTGCTTACGCCACTGCGCGGGCGACCATATGCTTTATCATAAACAAGTCTGATAACTGTGTCATGACGTGATAAATGTGAAGGCTTGGCCTGCAGTTGTGGGAGGGGCATGGTTCCCTATTTAAGCACATTACTCACCTCCACCTGTCCCGTTCGTTCCTTAGCGTTGCTTGATGCTGGTTCCGGTCGCCTTACCTCTTTGCTCCTTTCCTGCTCCTCGTGGCTCTCGTTCCAGCCGTCCGACCCTGTGTTGTGGCTGTGTTCCGGTCTGGCTCCTGTCGCCCCTAGCCTGCAGCCACACGTCTTCTCAGCTCCATGGTGCTGTAAGTTACTTACCCTGCCGTCGCGCCATGGTCGCACTCCATCGACGTCCTCGCGGCGTGGGTCCGTCCCCTGCACTATTTCAACCTCTCCCCTGGGTTCTCCTATATTTTGTGTGTTTTTCTTCCGAACGGGTCTCGCCGTACGGGAGTTTCTCTTTTCGCATGTTTCAAGCTTACCTTCCCTTTGGTGTTCCTGTGCCTATTTGGCTGTCGCTCCTTTTCCCCGCGAACGCCTCTATTTTCTTTTCCTGGGCTTTCGGGTTTTTCTTCTTTCCGAACGCTGTACTGTCTCCTCTCGTCGTGGTTGGGTATGTCTGTTTCCTGTCCGACCCCTACGGGTGGTTTCTGTTGTTACATTCGTTACAATGCTTTTTAAATATATATATATATATATATATATATAAAAAAGTGAATAAATAATAACCTATATATATATATATACACTAACGCTGGTTGTCAGGCTATCTCTTAAAGGGACAGTTTCACAAAATTAAAAATTCATCATTAAATTTTATATAATTCGTATGTTTTTTAATAATTACGTACATTGGACTTAAGCCTTAGGGTGGTTTTTCTGATTTCTGAAGTTGGGGTTTTTCCTGTCCAGGTTCCGGTTCCCTCTGGCTCCGTGGCCTTGTCTAATCTGTTTCTTTTAAGTTTTTTGTGCACGGTCTCGCTAGACTGCATTTTGCCCTCCTTGCCTCTCGTGCTGCTCTACCTCCTGGAAGGTATGTTTTATTGTTCTGTGTTTTTTCTTCTCTGTCTCTGGGTCCACGCTCTGACCCATACGGGCCCCGGGCGGCCATTCACCAATACTCGTTCTATTTCCTATTTCCATGCTCCCTCTGTACAGCCTGATCACCTGGTCTCTGATGTGCTTACTCTGCACTCCAGCTATGGTCTGCCTTACGTTACTGCCTCATACCTCCCCTATGTTTTTGTTACACGTTTTCCCCAGGTACGTCCTGTCTCGCACTTCGCTACCCCTCCTAGTCTAGACGTGGCTGGCTGTCAGGGTCTTAGGTGTCCAATAGTGGTAATCTCCCCTGGCTTTCTTAGCCTTAGTTTAGTGGTCCCGCGAGGCCAACACCCATCCTCATACTCGGAGGTACTACGCCCCTCGGGCCAAATCATAGTTAGTCGCCTCGCATGTGGCATAGAGAGGGCCTCACCTGTTACTCCCATTCTGTCTTATGCTTTACTGGTCACCGAGAGGCCGACACCCCGCTCCAACGTTCGGTGGCCACGAAACCCCCTCGCGCCAACGCATAGATAGAGCCTCTCAAGCCGCTTGGCATCTAGCAGGGCCTCACCTGTCACCAACTTAGTTTTAATTGTTTTGCTGCCTTGCGGCACTAGCTAGCTAGCCAGCTTACACTGGTCCTACACTTACTCTGGTCATTTTTCTTGCTCTGATGTCGCGCTTCTTTCTTTTAGCATGGATCACGTACCGGAAGGTGGCGAAGACTTGTTCCTGCCCGGCACTCCGGCTAGGTCTGGTACTCCTTCTCGCGGGGGAGATTCTACCACGCCTGTTTCCTTCGGATCCTGGTCTATTCTTCTCCTCGTGGTGGATCTTCGGAAACGTTGAGGGTTTTCCTCTACCTCTGCTTCTTTTCTAACTTTACCTCGATTGTAGCGGCCGCTGTGGTTTGGGATCGGGTTGTCCGGTTCGCTGTTTCTCAGTTGCAAACCATAACATACAGGGTTATAATTTCTAATTAATGGGGTAATAGCTGCTTGATCGAAGGAGACATCTGACTGCCATTGTTGGGGTCAAGAAGGAATTTTTTCCTGGTTTGTTGCAAATTGGCAGTGATACAGACTAGGTTTTTTGCCTTCTTTTGGATCAACGGCGGGGACATATGTGGGGATGGCTGAACTTGATGGACGCAGGCTATGTAGCTATGGTGTTACTGATTCTTTTGCTATGTTGATTGTGGTAGGTTTTGCTTCTTTTTTTTTGCCACCTTAAACTCACACTATCACATAGTACCATTAAATTGTACCTATCAGGGATACAACACCACATGTACCCAACAAACACAACTTCATGTCATCATACCAGATCAAATCTGTACTTAGAGGCATTCAGCAAACTAGACACGCCCCAACACATAGGAGGTTACCCATTGACTTCCAATTATTTCACTGTCTTTCAGACATTTTAGATGCTGGACCTTCTGATTTTTCGCTCCGACCATGTAAGTAAAACTGCCATTTACCTGTCTTTCTACGGTCTTCTAAGACCCTGTGAATTTACCACAACTACCATAACCAACCTATAATATTGCCTCAGGAGGTCTCACCTAGTTAAATTGGGAGTCTGTTATGTACTTACACTTCCTCACACTTAAACTACACTGGATGGTCAAGTCGTTTACATACCTTAGCACCCGACACATAACAAATAGTGCCCGGTTAAAAACTTAGACATATTTTTCATACTATCTCCATGTAAGTCATGCTCTTCCTGTTGTTGATTGTAATAAATTCTAGTCTGTATGTTTTTTTTTTTGCCCTCTTTATTTACAGGCCTACTGCTACGTCGGTTCCGGCACACCTCAACCAACTTTTCCTCTTCTTACACCTTGCTACACCGTCATACTCTTCTTACACTCTTGCCTCGGCCTTTTATTCCCCTACCACAAATGTGAAGGCTTGGCCTGCAGTTGTGGGAGGGGCATGGTCCCCTATTTAAGCCCACTACTTACCTCCACCTGTCCCGTTCGTTCCTTAGCGTTGCTTGACCCCACCCTCCTCTCCCTTTTATACTTTTCTCTATTCCTTACTGGGTGAGCCCTCTTTATTTACAGGCCTACTGCTGCGTTGGTTCCGGCACACCTCAACCGACTTTTCCTCTTCTTACACCTTGCTACACCGTCATACTCTTCTTACACTCTTGCCTCGGCCTTTTATGCCCCTACCACAACAATAAAAATATTCAACACAAAAAATCCAGAATTGTTTCCTAACACAAATGGACAAACTGTTCTCATTCGGTTAGGCCGAAATTCGGTAGTTTTGCCATTGTTCGAACGCTGAATGAAGCAGCGGAAGAAAGATGTTGTGGGGAAATTGCTTTGACCACAGGAAACGGAGCGGACTTTGCTCCTCCCCTGGGTCAGAGTGGGTCAAGGAAAAACACATAAGACAAAATAGCCCCTACTTTGTCTTATGTTTTAAAGAAAACTAGAACAGATAGGAAGAAACAAAAACCAGAACCTAATAGAGAGGGAGAGAAGAGGAATAGATTCAAGAAAGGTAAGTTCGGCATGACAGTGCCGCTTTAATCTTGTGGCTGGTCAGTATATGAATGTATGTATGCACATCAATTTAAGTATATGTGAATATTAATGTGTATTTGAATGTTGGTGTGAGTGTGTTCCCTAACAAAAATGGTTAGAGGTGCTGTAGATGGAGACCCTGTTTTTTTTACCTTTTCAGGGAATGCCAAAACACCATTCTGCCACAAGTGCCATGTAACCTAGATACATCTTTGGTTGCAGGTAGCATTATAGCCTCCATTTTCTGAGATTGCCTTTACATTTACACAGTTATTCATTAAAGTTCCTGGGAATTCAAATTGATTTTTTTAAATTATGTAAATTGGAATTTTTCAACTCAGTTCTGTTTTCAGTTTGGCTAGTTTAGCCATAACTACTCCAACTATTGTGACCATCTACTAATGGTTCTTCACAGGTTGTTCAGGGGTGGCGGTGGTGGTTAGGATGCTCCTCATAGCCAGGAAGCGATCCCGCTTCTTGCCACCAAATGTAAAGGCCCTGGGGAGATAGCGCAGCTAAGCGGACAAAGGCACATGTAGGAGTGTGGGGATAGATGCATGGGATTGGTTGGGAAAGAGTGTGTGGGTGGGATTATGTTCTGTGTAAGTTAGTGTTACCTGAGGTGTCGTGCCCATCGAGCGTGGATAATGTCAGCTGATGGCGGGCATTGGAAAGATATGATTTTTATTACCAAGGTTGAGGTGAGAAGGACGGTTGGGTCACTGTATAGCACTATGTGTGGAGTCATATATGTATATATAAAACAGAACAAAAAGTAAGCGCTAGCTAATATGAGGGCAGCAACCCTATAAGGGAATCCCTCAAGAACCCTTGAAATAACGCAGAGAGAGAAAGAATAAAAGATAAGGGCTGCGCCAATACACAAATGAAAATTGCAAATAGTCCAAATAAATAGCTGTAGTAAAATAAGAAAGTCTTATCTAGAGAATGCTCTTTGTGGTTATGGGATCTATCCGTGCTTGATCCGGAGCAATTGTCCTTTATATGTTCATCCGTGAGAATCCACTCGTATATGGAAGATAAAATGGTGGAGAGCCAATAGTGTAAAATGTTAAAACACTAAAAAATGAATAAGAAGGGAAAAATAAAACTCACATTTGAAAGAGCTAAACTTGCTCTAGTATAGAAGGAGTACAGCGATTTGATCCCCGCTTATGGGATATAGGGTGGACTTCCTCCGTCAGTGGTGTATCAGACACTCGGGTAGAAAGAAACAGCCAATAGTGTACACTGGATACAATGTTGGTAATAAAATAAATGAAAATAAAATGGGTACTCACAAGGCGGGAGCAGAACAACTGCTCCTTGACATAGCGCTGGTGGTATGATCCCCACCTAGGATTTCTTGGAGTCCGAGATGTTGAGAGAATGCCAGGTTGTAAATAAATTAGAGTGTATAAAAAGGATAAGTGGCACAAATAAAAAGTAACCAAATATACTTTAATATATATAAAATACACAATTAAAAGTCCATAAACGCGTTTCGCCAAAAATGGCGTTATCAATATGGGGTAAGAACCTGAAACCTGGCATAACATAGTTTATATAACAACTGTAATTCTATAAAATTGGCGCCTACAGTGAGCAGCCAATCAACAAAGTGTAAAAACATAAGTTGATAAAACAGTGTAAAAGTAGAAAGATCAATACTCTTATACAATAATATGTTCATTATAAGTATTATGGCATTAGTACATGTGCAAAACGAAAAGTATAGCTCAATATTTGTTAATTAATGTGTGCGGTCATGTGACCGGCACCATGCCGCTGGGGAGTATGGGAGTAGTAGTGTTGGCGCCGGCGCGCACTGCGCTGCCGCCGGCGTCTATGTAAGCAGTAAGGCGTCAGCTCGCACACTGATTGCGGCTGACGTCAGTAGGAGGGGTGGGGCGACGGCGGCTCGCACGGGAATGCGGCCGTCGTCCGGGAAACCAAATAAACAGACGACGGCGAGCACAAGGCTGCAGCCGTCGTCTGGGCAACAGAGAAAGCTTGTCGACATAAAAAGAGTGCGGCCGACCAAGCATGTAAAAAGAAACCATAAAGGGAAACATAAGTAAAGATAATAAGTAGAACATATTACATAAAACAAATAAAATGAAATAAAATATAAAATAGATATGGGAAGGTGTACTGGCTACTTAAAAAAAAACTGATTGTGTGTAAAAATAAAAATAAAAATATCATAAAAAAATATATATAAAAAAAAAAAAAATTATTAAAAGATGCTAAAAAATTATAAAAAATTGAACAAATCAAAGTCTACATTGAGACCATGGGGTGTAAGAGTTTGGAGTCTGTACACCCACTCCATTTCTATTTTACCTAAAATATTTTTAATATTTCCACCCCTCCAGGGAATCACACATTTTTTTATGCCTATACATTTCAGCATACTAGGGTCTCTATTGTGTTGAATAAAATGTTTGGATACTGAATGATTCTGGTATCCATTTTTGATGTTTCTGCAATGCTCGCTTAAGCGTGTTTTTAAGCAC